CTCCCTCTCCTTCTCCTTCTCCTTCTCCTTCTCCTTCTTCTTCTTCTTGTTGAAGATTATAGTTTCATTTCTTACATTTGGACATTTGAGGCTAGCAAATTCTCAGGATTCAACTCTATAAAGTTGTCTCCTGATTTCCACATGCTCTTTTCCCACAATAATAATAAATAAATGCATTAAGATTACCCACTTGTTTAAATGAACTAAACACGTGCCACCCTCTATTGCCAAGGTATATGTTTAATTAGTGCTTCTGTTCCCCAAGCTTTTTTTTTCATAGATTGTTTTTCAGTTTATTTAATTCATGGCTCTAGTCTGGTAGAAGAAACTGATTTTATTAAATCTTCCTTACTTTTCCCAGGGCATATTATATCTGCTATGCCCCCATGTGTTGCTTAATAAAGTTACCTTGAGTAAATGGTTTCAATGATTTTGCAATTAAACATGCTGCTATATAACTAGCTTCTTACAGTATGCTTCATCTGAGTTGTAATTGTAACAAAATTATTTTGTTGAGAAGACTTTTATTTTGTCCTTATAACACAATCCTTGGTAATACACTGAATTTGCCATAATATTTTTGCATATAATGACTTTTCAAATTATAATCTTCAAAAAATTGTGCAAATACCACAAATTAATCAGTGGACCTACTTGTATCAGCATAGACGTCATCATCAGTCTAGTCACCTTGAACAGTTTTCCTTCATGAGTATTTTTCCTCTTGAGTGTTCTTGTATTAAAATAGGTACAAGGACTCAAAATTAGTGATAGATAAGAAACCCTATTTACTTATATTATGAAATAAATTGATGGAAAAACAGAAAGTGAGACGTGGGCCCTTCTGCATCTCAGCTGATGATGTAGTAGGAAACCAGGGGTTGTTTGTAAAATGTGGTGGATGATGCATAGTCAGGGTATGGAAATACACTTATTAATCACATAAAATAATTATCTCCTAAATGACATTAAACACCTCTTGTTTGCAATGGCTATATAATGTTATTGATAATCTATGATCACCTGATAGTTCCAATTCAGCTGTCTACCTGGAAGATAATACAAGAAGCTGGATATGGAAGTAAAATGGAAACATGCATGCACACAAATAGTAAAAGCATACATACATTTATTTTGTATGACATTGTAATGTGGTACTGTCATCTGGAAAGTTCATGCCTGAGAGCCTTGTTTTTGAGTTACAAAATGAAACAAAATGTCTTGGTTAATGTTTTAGTGCTATGAAGGGATGCCATGACTAAACCAACTTCTGTAGGATGAAGCATTCTTCGGGGTATTGCTACGGTTTCAGAGGGTTAGTCCATAAACATCACTGCCAGGATCGTGACAGCAGGTGCACAGGCATGCTTCTGGAACAGAAACTCAGAGTTCATATCTGATCACAAGTTGGAGGCAAGGGGTGGGGCAGAGACATAGAGAGAGGCAGAGACAGATTCTGGGCCTGGTGGAGGCTTTTGAAACCTCAAGGCTTACCCTCAGTGACATACCTCTTCCAAAAAGGCCTCACCTCCTAATCCTTCCTAAATAGTCTACCAACTGGGAACCAAGTAGATGAACCTTTGGGGGACATTCTCCCCACTCAACCTACCACGTAAAACAAAACCAAAATCTTTAAGTCCCATAACGTTTTAGTTAAGATTTGTCTTTCATTTATAGCTACAGTTGTCTGCATGCAGCTGTGAGCTGCTGGTTGGATACCCTACTTAAAGGATGATGGTACTTTTGGGTGTCCTTTATAAAATGTGATGTGAAGGACAACAATGTATACTAAAACGAAGAGATGGAACTGCCAGGACAGGGGCAGGCTTCCCACACTCCAGCCTTCTACCAAGTGCATTTAAGCTTGTGCCTCAGGGAAACTTCTCGGTGTTGAATGTGTGGATCTTCAAACCTAAAAAATTAAAATGAGATCTTGAGTACTTAGAGTTTGAGTACTTAGAGTCCTATCTTTCTAGGACAGTCATTTTTGTAACTCACAGGGTTTACAGCTCTGAATGATAATGATTATTTATCTAATATTCTTTCTGTCAAACCTATTTTTAAAAGTCTTGTGCTAATCTCATTTTAAAGGAAATATTACATGTGAGTGCAATGATACTTTTTGTAGGGTGACTATGTATAGTGAAAAGCAGTTGCTTTCAAGTTACTGGAGCTTCTAGATCTTTTGAGCATGCTTTTGGTTGCAAGTTTTCATCATTTCTTATAACACACAAATTTTATAGGTGTAGAAAAAACGAATCTGAGGTTAGTGAAGTTTTATTGCTTCCAGATATTAAATTAAGATGGTAATAAATAAGATAGTTCAAATTATACTTTTGGAGTACAATTTAATAACAAAATATTAATTTAAAGCAAAATAGAAGTTTATGAACTTACATTTGATATCTTACTGATAATTTTCATCTTGTTTATCCACACGCCTCTAGGTATTAACAGTGCTTAGTACAGTGCCTGGCATCAAGCAGATATTGAGGTAGTTATGTTGAATGAGAGCAGTGAAGAAAAATAGCTTCACAAATGGAGTACAGTTTTGTGCTGTTTATCCAGGCTGGGTCAATTACTCTGAAAGGCAGTCATGCGCTAGGATCTGGAGAATGTGTCTGTATTATCTAATTTACTTTTTTGTTTATTTTTTTGTTAGATTATTAGTTCTCTGCGAGTTTTGTGCACATTTTGATCTTTTTCTTTCCTCCTCCAACCCTTTCTAGATTCAAACTGCCTTCCTTACTCACCCATCTTTGAGTCTCAACTTTTTTTTCTTTTTAACCTCTCAAGTCTAATTTGTGCTTGAATGTGTGGTCTTCCACCAGAGTGTAGTCAACTTTTCCACCACTCACACTTCTAGAGAAAACTGTTTTTTCCTCTCCTAGCAGCTAAAAGTTGCCAAAAGCTTTATGGATAGCAGTGGGATTGTGTGAGTAACTCCTCCCTCCAAGCTGACACTGAGTGTTCTTACCTGAGTTTTTGTGCATGCTGTCGCACCACGGTGAGTTCCTGTGTGCAGCTGCCCTGCTGTGTTTAGAAGACAGTGTCTCCTTTTAGTCATCTGCCACTTCTGGCTTTTATCCTCTCTCTGCCCCTCTTCCCAGTGATCCCCGAGCCTTGGGAACAAGATTATGATATAGATGTCCCTTTACAGCTGTGGATTCTCAAGTTTTTTGTTCTCTGTATCTTTCCCATTTGTGGATCTCTCACCATTCACTGCAAATAGAAACTTGTCAAGTGACAGTTGCATTAATCTGGATATAATGGATGTCACTGTGAGTAGATTGCTGCTGTGTCTCTTTAGTAGAATAGTAGTAGTAGGTTCTTCCCTGGTTCTTGTAACCTGTCTAGCCTCAGGCTAATGACTCCTGGTAGTGCCATTTTGGATTTTCATCTTGTGGAGCAGGAGATAAATACAATCAGAAAGTGATTGGTTGTTCCTGTGGTGTTCTTGTCACTATTACACCACTTGGCCTATCTTTCTAGGTCAGCTGTTTTTGTAACTCACAGGGGTCACAGCTCTGAATGATAATGATTATTTATCTAATCTGGTTGCATATACAATACCTTCAAGCACCATGAAAACTAGCTAGAAGGGATGAAGATCTATATTGTCTTGCTTTTTTACCTTGATCTACGGCTCTAGCTTGTGCTACATGTATTAACTTCAACAATAGTGTCCTATTGTTAAGTCCCGGGGCACAACAAAAGCAATGGCAATAGCCTGTATTGTCTTTGGGACTTCACCTGTCAAAAACTCCAAAAGATATAACCCTTCTGGCCCTGGGCTTTTGATTTGTTATCTTGTGGTGTATAGTTAGGTGCATTGTGGCCCTGCTATAGGATAACACCATTTACTTTTTTATGTCTCTACATTTATAGTTTAGGAAGCTTCTATGATAGTAGGTTTCCCTCTGACTATTTTGGAAAGTTGGCAATGTTTAAAATTTGTCAATTTTTAAAGACTAAACATTTTTAGTGTTTTAAAAAAAACAGTAACAATGATACCATTTAACCAGAGGAAAAATCTGCCTCTGGCCTAAATTATTTGCTGCCTTCTTGAATGGATCCCAAGTAGTCTGTTACTTAAATATATTTTTATGTAAGAATTTATCTACTCATGTTTTTTCTTTATTTTATTTCCTTAGCAAGTAGTTTGAAAACTTTGACCTTCTCTTTGTGGGTTTTCATATATACTGTCAGCAATCCTTGATAGTTTACATTCAGTCAAGAATGGGGCACTGTATGCTGTACTTCATTTGAATGTCTTTGAGAACAAATTTTATAAAGTAATGTACCACTTTATGGAAAAAGAGAAAACTTTGTTCTTGTTTTACTTTTTGATGTTTAATGTTCTATGTATTCTACTGAAGGTATTTTGTTTTTTATTTATTTTACTTATTTATTTTATTCCAGGTTCTAAAGCACTCTGAAGGAAGATTGTATACAACTGATTGTTATTCTTGGTGTAGTTTTGCACTGAAGTGACCAATTTTAAGTAAATGAGTCAGTATGAAGTTTTAGTTTTTCTTCTATTTGTCTATTTTTATTTTTTTAAGAGAAAAATGGAAATATTATATTTTCTATATAAACATCAAATCTAAAGTTTGGTGACATACTATATTTTCCCTTATATCTTATTTATATATTATGGATAAATATATTTTATGTATATAAATCTTTTCTCTTATCAATCAGTATATCTAAGCACTATTTCTGTCTCCCCCTTCATGTTCAGTCCATTCATCTTCTATTTTTTTTCTCCCACTTTTTTTTTTAGCTTCTTCTTTCCTTTTACTCCGATTTCCTACTCATTTCTCACCAACTATAGCTAAATAAGTTAAAAATTGAGAATCGAGGCTAGGATTTTTAATCCTAAATTTAAATTTATTTAAAATTTTAAGTGAAAATGTAATTATATTACTTACCTCTTCTCTTTCTACAACCCCTCTTATGTTCCTTTCTGCTCCCTCTCAAATTGATTACCATTATTTTCTTTATTGTTGTTGCATATGTAGATGCATATACTTGAGTAAATATTTAAATAAACCATGCTGAGTTCATTTAGAGTGACTTGGGTGTATATGATGTTGATGATCAGTTTGGTTGTGAATAACCAGCTAGGGGCTCATCCCTGAGAGAAATTAATTGTCTTTCCCTCAGCAGTCATTCATTACTTTTAGTTCTTTGTCTAAGGAGGGACTCTGTGAGATTTCCCCTTCTGTATACTGTCTATTAGCACTGTCATTGTTCAGTTATTGTAGCCGTATTATTGAAGTATCATTAGTGTGATTTTCCTGTTATTTCTAGGCGACACAGTCTCACGGTGTGAAACCATGATCTTGTGTATGCAAGGGAAGTCTTCTAAATATGTTTTTTTTTAAAAAATAAAGAATATTAATGCTAATGCATTACATTTAAAAGGATTATGTTTAAAAATTTGGTTCCTGAGTCTACAGAGATAGCTCAGGGGAAAGAGTGTTTAGTTCTTATGAAAAGGATCCTTGGTTACCAGCGCCCATGTGGGGTAGTTCATAACCAGCTGCTTGTAACAACAGCTCCAGGGGTCTTATGCCCTGTTCTGTTCTCTTTGGGCACCAGCACACATGTGTACATAGACACAGAGACAGACATAGAGACGCACAGTGAAAATAAATCTTAAAAAAAATAGGGTTTTGCCAGAGTGTTTGAATTAGGAAGTTGTGTGATTATGGTCATGTAACTTAGTTTTTCCTGGCAAGAGCTCCTTCCTCCCTTAATCATTTCAGTGATGAGAGGCTGTTTACCTTGGGATTGTCTTCCTATTGTGAACAAAGAGAACACCTGGGTACCTGGAGGAAAACTTCCTGTTCTCTCTCCTGGCCCCTCACCTCCCCCAGCAAGGATAAACAGCCCCCATACTTGGATCTTCCTCAGCTTTCCCCTTCCCTTCCCATTTCTGTCTTCAAGCTTTCTTCCGAAGGAAAGGTCAACTTAGGTGGAGTCAGTTCAGCTCAGGTATTGTTATCTCATCCTTTTTATTGAATAAGAACAATTCTTTACTAGTAAAAATGTTCAAAAGGAGGAAAGATAAAACAGTGAAGATTTCATTCAGTTATGAATTTATCAGAAGAGATGTGAATATGGAAACTAAGTGGGGATGATAAATTTATTCCCCAAGCAGTGGTTGGAGCTGGTGAGGATGTGCGAGTGAAGCCTAGTGCACCACACAAGGGGCCCACAGCAGCAGAAACCTCACCTTCCATAAGACAGGCCCGTTATTCCCACAGTTTATTTCTAAAATTTTATAATTCTGTATAGGAACTTTTTATATTTTATATGCAATGTCTACTGAATATTATAACTTAAAGAATACAGGCCTGTTTCAAAATAGAAACAATCCTTATGTATTCGCAAGGAATACAGGGCCAGCAAGATGGCTCAGTGGGTAAAGGTGCTTACTGCCAAGCCTGGTGACTTGAGTTAGGTTATTGGAACCCACACGGAAGGCAAAAAACCCAACTCCTGCAAGATGTTCCATGACCTCCATAAGTGCACTGTGCACACACACAATCCCCAAATATACAAATACATATAATAAAAATTTTAAAATAGGAAATGCAGAGAAACTATTTATTTGTTCAAAATTAGATGCCTCAACAATCTCATGACCTCATGAATAATTATGGTTACATTTTGGTAAGAATGTTTTCAAGCCTTTTTTGTATTTGGTTTAACTTTTTTTTAAATGGGACTGTAGGGGGCTGGAAAGAAGGCTCCGTGGTTAAGAACACTTGCTGTTCTTCTGGAGGACCCAGGCTCAGTTCCTAGCACCCACATGGCATCTCACAACTATCTGTAACTCCAGCTTCTGGGGATCTGATGCCCTCTTCTGGGCTCTGCTGGTAACTGGTGTTCATGTGGTGTACTTACATATGTGCTAGTAGGACACTCAGACACTTAAGTAAAAACAAATGAACCTTGTTTAAAAAAATACAGATAGTTCTCTGCCTCTTTCCCTCTACTCCTCAATACATAATAATCTTCCCGCATCATAAAATGGCTTATAAAACACATTTTTCAATAACCACATAGATAAGCAACACATTAGCTTTGTAATCTTCTCTTGTAATTTAGACATTTAAAAAAACTTGGTTACATACTGTACTGTTATGATCATCAGTTTTTATACAGAATCCTGACTTATACAGTGATATTAGGTATCAAGAATTATGGGAATTCTGCTGTAGAGGGTTATCTGGTTTTATACTGAAACCTAATAAAGATTAGGAACCTAAGATATTAGACCAGAAAAGAGTTTTGACTTTTAAGTGCTAACCAGAAAATAGAAAAAGAATATACTGTTTTTATAGACTTAGCCATGAAACTAGGCCTCATAGTATAACTATCTCTTATAAAGTGTACTATCAATAAGTATTGTGCTCTGCTTTAGATTCTTGTATATTTTTAGTACAATTTCATAATTATCTTCAAAGGGGAAGAAAGAATTATTTTTAGGACAATTTCATAATTATTTTCAAAGAGGAAGAAAAGAATTATTTTTCAAAGCTTGTTTCAATATAAAAATTAATCTATTGTCAAGCTGTAAATTGATTTTGTTTTCTTGTATGTTAGTATTTAGTTGTTTATTCATCAGGCTCCATACTCCATGTGTGTGTCTCCTTGTTGCATAAAATTTTGACTCATTGAGCTAAACATTTTGTTACAGGGACAAAACACCAGAGAAATCAACTCAATCTCCCCTCTCCTCTCTCCCCTATCTTTTCCTCTCCCCTCCCCTCCCCTCCCCTCCCCTCTCCTCTCCTCTCTTCTCCTCTCCCTTCTCTCTCTCTCTCTCTCTCTCTCTCTCTCTCTCTCTCTCTCTCTCTCCCCTTTCTCTCTCCTCTCTCTCTCCTCTTTCTCTCTCTGTGTGTGTGTTGGGGTGCAAGAGGGGTGTTGTTGTGGTTCCTGATTCCAGAGGTTTCGGTCATGGCATGTCTTAGGAGAATGGCCTACCTTACAGTGGTTAGGAAGCAGAGAGACTGAGTGCCTTTACTGTGGAAATTTCCTTCTCCCCTTTTGTTCTGTCTGGGTCCCCAGCCTACTGGATGGTGGGCATTGCAGGGTGAGACTTTTCCTTTCCCTGATCTTCTCTGGCCAGATCCTCACATTATGCAGTCTAAGGGCATAATTCCCTAAGATTGATCCTTTCCAATTCAGTTAAGTTGCAGTCTACATTAGCCTTGACCACCACACTCAATAAAAGAATTTTTTAAAAGCCTCATGTCTTCACTTTTCCCCCTCTTTTCTACTTTCAAATCAAGCAGTGAAACAAATATCTGGCACATCAAGCAGAACTTATCATTCTGTTAATGCAAACAGTTCTGTAGCCTTTGACAATAGACTTCTTAATGCCTTGAATAAATTAAACTGGTTTACTTTAGTTGAGTGATTTTCCCTTTTTGTCCTCTATAAGTTTACTTTGGTGTTGACTGCTTTTAATCAAACAAGACTATAATCTTGGTTTGTGAATGCATAATCTTGGTAACTCTCATGTTTCTATTCTTGAAAACAAATTGTGATCAATGATATTGTGTGCCTACACTAATTTTCCATTCTTGAGTGATAACCATTTCAGGTTAACAGGACAATTTAATTTTCTTTGATTTTAAGTTAAAATTGACATGGACAAGTAGATATAGATAAAGCATAAATACCATTATATATTTCAGATAACTTTTAATTTTCTGATTTAGTTTAAATGAAGCATTGAAAGTGTGATTAGAAAAAAAAAACCAACCAAACAGAATACAGTTTTTCTTGGTATTAGAAAAGGCCTGAGAAGAAAGTTTTAGGACTAGTAAGAAAAGTGACGTATTTAGAAAATATTTCATTCGTGGTAAATAGTGATTACTGAAAAGGAATGTAGAGGATCACTGGCAGAAAGCCCTCCCAGTGGGTTATAGGTTCCCAGATGCTTTAGTACAAGTAAGAAGAACAAGAGTGTTCAAGGTGTGAAGAAAAGCCACCTGGGAAGTTTAGATGGGAAGTACCTCAGTGTTGGACTCTGCAGGCCTGGTGCAGTATGGGGTTTGGGGCCACCCAGTTCCAAAAGTACATTCAGAATTCTGTCAGACAAAATCAATATGCAGATATTATTGTGAACATATGCTGTTAACATTATTTCGCTGACCTCAAAGTAATGTATACAAAAGCATCATCAAGTGATTTCTGGGTTTATAAAACTGACAACAATTAGAGAAAAAAATGATCATGGAGTCTCTCCTCCAGAAAACACGTGGTGTTTGTGTTCTGTGATGATTGTCAAAAGCTAAGTGTATTCAAATGAGGAAAAGCAGGTCTGTGATTAAAAACAAAGGCTCATTTTAAAAAATTCCACACAATTTGGTTGTAATGTTTTAGTCATTAATAAGTCCAGTTCAAATTAAAGAGAAGCCAAGATTTTAATGATGTATTTTATGTAATATCAAAAAAGAAGCCACCTTCTCTTTTCTCTCTCTGCTGACTCTATCTAAATTCTGGCTTCGCCACGCTTTGCCAGTTTGGAGAAATGATTTGTCAGCTGCTCTGTAAAGAACTCTAAATGCGTTAAAGGTGCTTTAAATGCATAAGTATTGGGAATAAAAAGCAGGGCCGTTTCCCAAGACTATATGAATTAATGCTAA